TTTTTTTTTTTTTGAGATGGAGTTTCGCTCTTGTTGCCTAGGCTGAAGTGCGGTGGCATGAACTTGGCTCACTGCAACCTCCACCTCCTAAGTTCAAGCGATTATTCTGCCTTAAGCCTCTTGAGTAGCTGGGATTATAGGTATGCACCACCATGCCCAGCTAATTTTTGTATTTTTAGTAGAGATGGGGTTTCACCATGTTGCCCAGGCTGGTCTCAAACTTCTAACCTCAGGTGATCCTCCCACCTTGCCCTCCCAACATGCTAGGATTACCGAGATACTGTGGCTGGCCCAAAACTAAGAACTTTTATGCAAAGGACATGAACAAGAAAGTGAAAAGATGCCTATAATCTCAGCTGTTTGGAAGGTCAAGGGAGGATCACTTGAACCCAGGAGTTCTCAGCCCAGCCCAGGCAACAAAGCGAGACCCTGTCTCTACAAAAAAATAAAAAATAAAATACTCTGGCCGGGCGCAGTTGCTCAAGCCTGTAATCCCAGCACTTTGGGAGGCTGAGGCGGGTGGATCACGAGGTCAAGAGATCGAGACCATCCTGGTCAACATGGTGAAACCCCGTCTCTACTAAAAATACAAAAAACATTAGCTGGGCATGGTGGCGTGTGCCTGTAATCCCAGCTACTCAGGAGGTTAAGGCAGGAGAATTGCCTGAACCCAGGAGGCAGGGGTTGCGGTGAGCCGAGATCGCGCCATTGCACTCCAGCCTGGGTAGCAAGAGCAAAACTCCATCTCAAAAATAAATAAATAAAATAAAATAAAATAAAATACCCGGGTGTGGTGGCATGCCTCTATGGTCCCAGCTACTTGGGAGACTGAGGTAGGAGGGTCACTTGAGCCCAGGAGGTCAAGGCTGCAATGAGCCATGACTGCACCACTGCAACCCAGCCTGGGTGACAGAGTGAGACTGTGTCTCAAAAATAAAACAAAAACAACAAAAATAGCCCAATTAAAAAATAGGCAAAGAGTCAAAAGAGCTATTTCGCCAAAGATAATAGAGAAATAGCCAATAAGTACATGAAAAGATGCTCAATATCACTAGCTATAAAGAAAATAAGAATCAAAATCACAATGAAGTACCACTTAACTTCACACCCATTACCATGGCTAGAATCAAACAGACAATAACAAGGGTTGGTGAGGATGTGGAGAAACAAACTTTCATATATTTCTGGTGTGAATGTAAAATGATGCAAACTCTTGGGAAAAACTCTGGTAGCTCCTAAAAAGATTAGAGTCACCATATAACCCAGCAATTCCACCCCTAGGTATAACCCAACTCAAGAAATCATTAAAACATAGGTTCGGCCGGGCGCGGTGGCTCACGCCTGTAATCCCAGCACTTTGGGAGGCCGAGGCGGGTGGATCACGAGGTCAAGAGATCGAGACCATCCTGGTCAACACGGTGAAACCCCGTCTCTACTA